TATGAATACAATATGAAAATAAATAAGAATATAAACACTTAAAAGTGTTAACTTATATATATTTTCAGGAAAAGTTAAGAATGAATAGTATTCCGCCAAATTAGTATGCTCGCAAGGGTGAAAAACAAGACATTAGACGGTTGTAGTCAAAAGCAGTGGAACATGTTATTTAATTGGATGATCCTCCTAAAACCTTACCATCACTTGAATGAAAATATATATATATATATATATTTTACACAAGCGTTACATCGTTGTCGTCAGTTCATGCTGTGAAGTTTAATATTAAGTTATTAAATGAACGTAATCCTTTATATTATAATATTTAATATTATGTATATCCATCATTGGATATCGGGAGTAAAGGCCCAAGACTAATCATGATGACCTTAATGTGATGGGCTATAGACGTGTTACAAAATTATTGACAATTATATTATATATATAGATATATATATATTTATTATATATATATATATTATAAATATAAGTTATTTAAACAATAATAATATAAGATAATTATATATGGATTGTAATCTGTAAATCGATTACATGAAATAGGAATTGCTAGTAATCGTGAACAAGAGAGTCACGGTGAAAACTAATCACTACTTCGTACTAACTACTCATCAATAGCAGGAAATTTATAATATTTATTTATCTCTTCTTTTTAGAAGAGAAGGTATTTTAATAAGTGACTTGCTATAAGTTGAAATACGGTTCGGTTAGGGGAACCTGATCGGGATTATAAAATTATAAACTTATTCATTACCCTTTAGTCTATATCTCAATGGTAGAGAGATCGATTGATAATCGATAGATGTAAGTTCAATTCTTACTAGACTAATTTTATATATCTAATAGTCAACTTTGTTGTATTTTTATTTTATGTCCATCAGCAAAGCTAGTGGCAGAAATCTTATTTACCATATAATCTGCAGCAAGCTTAGCTTGCTGCTATATATTATATCCCAAACAGAAATATATGGAAGGAGAAATATATTTCTTTTTAAGAAATATATTATAAAGGAATATATATATATATATGGGAAAAGAAAGATAATATATGACTATTAGCAATGCTAATGATAGTATATAAATAATCATAAATGAGTCGTTGACTAATAGGCAAGTCCCCTAGATTTGAGCTAGGCCTATACATGTTCGAATCATGTCGACTCAGAGGCATTGGTAGCTTAATGGTAAAGCCTTATAATGTCACTATAAGAGATGTCAGTTCGAGTCTGATGCAATGCGTATAAATAATTATTGTTATATAAGCCAATTTTACTGGCTGAAGGATAATGGTTAAAGGATATTTAGGCATTGGTAAGCCGCCCTACTTGCTATGTAGCAGCATTAAGCTCTCAGCGTTCGATTCGCTGAATATCCGTTAAATATATATACTATATTGCAACTAGTTAAACTTAAACTAGTTGCAAGATGTAGTAAATATAGGCATATAATATAATGGTAAATATGCATTACTACGGATGATGATATGTAAGTTCAATTCTTACTGTGCCTTATACTTGTTTAGTAGTTTAATGGTTAAAACATTACTCTTCTAAAGTAAAGATATAGGTTCGAATCCTTACTAGACAATATTTAGGTTGTTAGATTAGTGGTTAAATCACAGATCTTACACATCTGAGCCATAGGTTCAATTCCTATACGACCTATTTTATTCTCTTATAGTCAATGAAAAAATCTTGACTATAAGATATATTATATAATAGTCAATAAAATAATATTGGCTAGAATATAAAGAGTATAGCTTAATGGTAAAGCCCGTGTCTTCAACACATGTAATAGTAGTTCGATTCTACTTACTCTTGTTTATATTTGCTTATGTAGCTTAATTGGTAGAGCATTCGCTTGAAGCGCGACTTATTTGAGTTCAATTCTCAACTTAGGCATTTTTGATATTCCGATATATATATATTTATAAAGAAATATATATATATTACATTTATATTAGTATATCAATATTTATAAAAAAAAACATATTATAAAAAAAAATGACAAATAATATAAGAGGATTTATACAATTACATCCATTTCATTTAGTAAGTCCATCACCATGACCTATATTTACATCATTTTGTGTTATGAATTTAGCTTTATCATTAGGTTTAACAGCACATGGATATATAGGTAATAATTTCTTTGTAATATTAAGTATTATAACATTATTTTATGGTATGACTTTATGATTTAAAGATATAATTGCTGAAAGTACATATTTAGGAGATCATACATTAGCAGTTAAAAGAGGTTTAACACAAGGTTTCTTATTATTTGTAGTTAGTGAAATATTAATATTTGCAACATTATTTTGAGCTTATTTACACTCTGCTTTAAACCCTACTATTGAAATAGGGATGTCATGACCACCAGCAGGTATAGAAGCAGTAGCAGCTGATGAATTACCTTTATTAAATACTATTATATTATTAGCATCAGGTGTTACTATTACATTTAGTCATCATGCTTTAATTAAAGGTTTCAGAAACTACTCTTTATTAGGTTTCATTTATAGTACTTTATTAATATTATTATTTGTTATATGTCAAGGTTTTGAATATACTTTTGCTTCATTTACTATCTCTGATAGTGTTTATGGTTCTACTTTCTATAGTTTAACAGGTTTACACGGTATCCATATGATAATGTTAGTTATTATGTTAACTATTTGTACTTGAAGAATTTATAATTATGATTTCACTGATACTTCTCATGTAGGTGCTGAAACTACTATTTTATACTTACATGTATTAGATATAATCTGATTATTTATATATATAATAGCCTATTGATGAGGTTCTTAATTAATTCACTGTTAAAAGGGCAATAATAATAAATAATAATAATTCAAAAATGACTATAATAACAATAAAAACTTTATGTATATTAATTTCTAATATATTATCTTTCTTTTTAGCTGTAAGTATTACTTCATTTTGTTTAGATAAATATCAACTATCTGAATATAAATATATTAGAATTATACAAAGATTAACACCTTTAATAATTATATTAATAGTAATATTAAATATGTATATAGAAATTATTTTAGAACATAAACATATTATATAAATATAGATAGTATTGATAAATTAAATATTAAAAAAATATGTAGATGAATCATTTAATAATATGATAATACATTATATTAAGAAAATAATTATAATTAATAAAAAAATAGGTAATTGATATTTAATATATATATTAATTATGTTAATTATGAATATAATAGCAATATATATTTTAAGTTCTAGATTAAATGAAAATTTAGATTATTTTATAGAATTACATAATATACATAAACGTAGGTAAATATAAATCTGCTACCTTAAAAGCAGAGAGAGATATATATATATATATACAATATATATATATATATATATTATTATTAAAGTATTCATTGAAATAAAATAACCTTATAATAAGGGTAAGGATGTATGGCTGAGTGGTTTAAAGCATAATATTTGAGCTATTAAGACGATAAGTCCACGTGTTCGAATCACGTTGCATCCGAATAATGATTATGGCGGAATAGGAAGACGCGATTAGTTTAGGTCTAATTTACTATAAAGGTAAATAAGGGTTCAAATCCCTTTAATCATAGAAATAATAAATATATATTTAAAATGAATATATATATATTAATGACAATAACTTATATATTTTTAACAGCATTTACATCAATAGTATCAAGGATAGTAAATAATATATCAAAACAAATATTTTTAATATCAAGTATATTAATAGCAATACCAACATTATATGATTGAAAAGAAATAGATGTATATTTTACAACTGATGGTATAGCAGATGTATTAATATTATTAACAGCATATTTATTACCATTATCAATAATATCAAATTGAAATAATATTAAAAGTAATATATATTATGAATTAGTATTAAATTTAGGTATAATATTATTAATAAATTTTATGTGTCAAGATATGACATCTTTTTATGTTTATTTTGAAGCATCATTAGCACCATTATTTATATTAATAGGTTTATATGGGGCTGCAAATAAAGATAAAGCTGCAGATTATATATTAATATATACTTTATTTTCATCATTATTTATGTTATTAGGTATAGCTTTATATGAAGTTATATTAGATAATACAGATTATCAATCAACTAGTTTATTAGTATTATCTATTGATTTACAATGTATTTTATATTTAGCTATATCTATAGGTATAGCTGTTAAGACACCTTTAGCACCTTTCCATACTTGATTACCTGTAGTACATTCAGAATCACCTTTAGCAGGTTCTATATTATTAGCTGGTGTTATATTAAAATTAGCAGTATTTGCTATTATTAGATTAATATTACCTACATTATCTGATGCATCTATATTATATACACCTTTTATATATGTATTATGTGTAATAACTATAATATATACATCTATTATAACTTTAAGACAAACTGATTTAAAAGTTATAATAGCATATAGTTCTATTAGTCATATGGCTGTATGTATATTAGGTATATTCTCTAATTCAATAACAGGTATTACTGGTAGTTTAGTATTATGTGTAGCTCATGGTTTTGTATCACCAGGTTTATTTATAGTAGTAGGAGGTATATTATATGATAGATATCATAATAGATTATTACATTATTTCCAAGGTTTAATAACTTATATGCCTATATTATCTATATATTTCATTATATTAAGTTTCTCTAATGTAGGTACTCCTTTATCTATAAACTTTATTGGTGAAATGTTATCTATAACTGGTGCTATTAATAGAGCTCCTCTATTAGGTGCAGTAGCTGCTATTTCTGTATTATTATCAGCTTGTTATCAAATGAAATTAACTAATAGATTAACTGGTGGTGTTAAAACTCCTTATGTTTCTATTACTGCTGATTGTACTTATAGAGAATCTATTTTAATGATTTCTTTAATCTTCCCTACTATATTCCTTGGTTTCTTCCCATCATGAACTATTGATTTATTATGAGATGCACCATCTTTATTATATATATTCATTGATTTTATAGCAACTAACTTTTGTTGTTAAAACAAACTGCGTATTATTTATCATAATCAATTTTACTGACTGCAATATTATATTTCTATCCTTGAAATTATTTATTTCTCATTTTGATGATATATATCTTATATATATATAAAAGGTAAGATTAAAATATAAGATAAATATTATATTATTCAGTATAATATATCTTTATATAATATATATTATAGTCAGTAATAATAAAATTGGCTATGATAAATAAAGATAAGTAAAGAGGAAAAAATAAAAAAAAATAATGACATTAAGAAAATCAAATCCTTATTTAGCATTAGTAAATAGTTATTTAATAGATAGTCCACAACCTAGTTCAATAAATTATTGATGAAATTTAGGATCATTATTAGGATTATGTTTAGTAATACAAATAGTAAGTGGAATATTATTAGCAATGCATTATTCTAGTCATATAGAATTAGCATTTGATTCAGTAGAACATATTATGAGAGATGTAAATGCTGGATGATTAATAAGATATACACATGCTAATGGTGCATCATTCTTCTTTATATGTATGTATTTACATATAGCTAAAGCTTTATATTATGGTAGTTATAAATCACCTAGAGTATTAGTTTGAACAATAGGAGTAATAATATTTATATTAACAATGGCTACAGCTTTCATGGGATATTGTCTTGTGTATGGACAAATGAGTCACTGAGGTGCAACAGTTATTACTAATTTATTATCAGCTATACCATTTATAGGTCAAGATATTGTTCCATTTATATGAGGAGGTTTTTCTGTAAGTAACCCTACAATACAAAGATTCTTTGCATTACATTATTTATTACCATTTATATTAGCAGCATTAGTAATAATGCACTTAATGGCATTACATGTACATGGATCATCAAACCCAGTAGGTATATCAGGAAATGTAGATAGATTACCAATGCATGGATACTTTATATTTAAAGATTTAATAACAGTATTTGTATTTATATTAATATTTAGTTTATTTGTATTCTTCTCACCTAATACATTAGGTCATCCTGATAACTATATACCAGGTAACCCAATGGTAACACCTCCATCAATTGTACCAGAATGATATTTATTACCATTCTATGCAATATTAAGATCTATACCTGATAAATTAGGAGGAGTTATAGCAATGTTTGGTGCTTTATTAATATTATTAATATTACCTATAACTGATAGATCTATTATTAGAGGTAATACATTTAAAATATTATCTAAATTATCATTCTATTTATTTATATTTAACTTCTTTTTATTAGCTAATATAGGTCAATTACATGTTGAAGTACCATTTATTGAATTAGGACAAATCGCTACTGTTTATTACTTTAGTTACTATATTATTATAGTACCTATTATTTCTAGTATTGAAAATATCTTATTCTATATCGGTAATAAATAATTTATAGCAGTAAGCAAAGCTAACTACAGATTATTTAGATATATATATATATTTATTCATTGATTCCTCATCCTTATCACTAATTTTGTAAGTTATAAATTATTTAAATAGTAGCAAGTAAAGCTAGCTGCAGATTATTTTCCTTCCATCCAGTTGTCAACATTGTTGATAACTATAGCCATATAAATATATATACTTATATATATATTTATATAAAAGGAATAAATAAAAAATAAGATTAAAGAGATATAATAAGATTCTTTATAGCAGCAAGCTTAGCTTGCTGCGGATTAAATTAAGGTAATGCTATTTACAGCATTTTTAATAATTTTAGTTTTCTCAACTTTTACAAATGGGCAATATAATATTGCACAAGAAAAAAATGATAATTCAGAAAAGAATATATCAATAACTTTTAATAACCAAGGGAAATATAATAATATATATCTTAATAGAATAGCAATAATAAGTATAATATATTCATTATACATATATATAACATCTATGGATATGATAGCTATAACACCTGGAATAACATTATATAATAATTTATTTATATTAACACCGTATAATTTACCATTATCTATATTAATATTTGTATTAATAATAGCTTTATCAATATATATAACAGCTACACATAGATATGATAATAAATCACCATATTATTTTGTAATATTATTAACAAATATAATAGGTTTATTATTATTTCCATTAGTTAATGATTTAATTGTATTATATGTTGTAATAGAATTACAAAGTTATTCATTATATTTATTAACAGGTTTACATAGTAGATCATATAATGCATCAAGAGCTTCATTATTATATTTCATAATGGGTGGTGTTGCTTCAACTATTATATTATTAGCATCATATTTCATATATGCTTTAACTGGTACAACTAATTTATCAGATATAAGTATAATATATACATATAATAATGCTTATGATTATTTTGATATAATGTTAATAGCATTATTATTTAAAATGGGTATGGCTCCATTACATCGTTGAAGTATAGCAGTATATAATTATGCACCAACATATATTACTGCATATATAAGTGTTGTAGCTAAAATATCAATAGCATCATGAATATTTGCTAATGTAAATTTATTCCATCATAATGTATTAATAATATTCTTTTATATATCATTAATAATAGCTGCTTATAAACCTTTATTCCAAGTAAATATTAAAACTATATTAGCTTATAGTGGTATATTAAATTTTGGTTATATATTATTAACTATTATAACTTTTGATTATGCTTTTTATATTTATATTATACAATATGTTTTAACTCATTTAATATTATTTTTAGGTATATTAGCTGCTGGTCAATATATAAATACACCTATATCTAATTGATCACCATTAATATTTATACATCAATTAAAATTACCTAATTTAACATTAGCTATATGTTTAATATTAGCTTTATTCTCATTAATAGGTATACCACCTTTACCAGGATTTTATGCTAAATTATATATATTAGCTGCTGCTATACAAGATAATTATTTATTAGAATCATGTACTTTAGTTGTTTGTAGTGTTTTTGCTACTTATTATTATGCTAATATAATTAAAGTTTTAATAACAAGTAAAACTAATACTAATATTATAAAAAATAATACTAATACTATACAATATATTAATTCTTCATTAGCATTTACTATTGCTACATCAACTTCATTATTAATTAGTTTCTTTGTATTCTTACCATCAATGTTAGAAGGGCTTTATTTAATAAATATATCTATATAATGTTTACATTTTATTTATTTTTAGCTCCTATTGTTGCATGTGTTTTAATAGGTTTAAATTATTTAATATCTAATGAAAATTCATATACTGAGAAAAATGGACCTTTCGAATGTGGTTTCACTTCTTATCAACAATCTAGATCTGCTTTTGATGTTGCTTTCATCTTAGTTGCTATCTTATTTTTACCTTTTGATTTAGAAATCTCTTCTATTTTACCTTATGTTGTTAGTGCTTATTCTAACGGTTTATATGGTCTTTCTATTTTAGTTATCTTCTTACTATCTTTAGTTATTGCTTTCGTTTAT